ATGTCATATAGGAATGTAAAAATGATGAGGGGGACATATCCCAGTGCAGCTTTATATCTTTTGGCAATATATATTCCTCTATCTCCCTCTATTTATATCCAGGAACAGTTGGCTAGGAGAAATTGCTTTTTATCCAGAGCTTGATTCCTTGCAGAGTGCTTTTGAAAGTAAGCCAAGAGTTCATAGAGCCTCAGGGCGGCAAGTTGCATCCCCAGCAATAAACGGATAGACGGAGAGAAAGAGAGTGCCCTAAACAGCTAGATTGGTTATGAGCTTGGACCGTTATTACTGTAATGGGTCTACGTTTACTGTAATTGTATTACCTGATTTGAATGTCCAATAAGTTGAAAGAGCCTGTGTGCTTTTAGAGCTATGGATGGTCTCCTGAATGGATCTTGTTTTAGAGGGGAGTCGGAGATAAGTACTCTGTGTGTGTGTGTGTGTGTGTGTGTGTGTGTGTATGTGTGTGTGTTATCTGAGAAGGAAGAATTGGGTGCCAGTATCAGGCAGCCTTCTCCACTCTGCTACTTTCCAGATTGTGGGACTAAAGCTCCCACCATCACCAGCCTCAGGTGAGCCAATGGAAGCCAGATTCACAGCGAGATTCACAGCGAGTCTGGGGGCTGGAAAGAAGAAGAAAGAGAAGAAGAAGAGAAGAAGAAGAAGAAGAAAGAAGAAGAGGCAGCTGCTTATTCAGCCAGCAGCCATAGCAAAGACAGAAGGGACCGGCAACCTATTGTATCCAGGGGCCTGCACATTTTAAATAATTTCTCTTTATTGCTAAGGGCTGTATGGGACTAGAGACAGGGTCAGTGAAGAAATGGCACCACCAGAGAGGATCGGAATGGAATTCTACCTGATTTTCCTGTCTGGAGAGATTTGGCCAGAAATTGTTCTACTGCAATTTCAAAGTTTGCAGCTGGTTTTCTGGGTCTTGACTTTGGGGGCCTCAAGAGATACAAAAAGAGAGAACTTGTGGGCTGCACCTGATCCATGGGTTGCCTCTTCTGATGTCAAGGATGACCTGGATGTTTGGCTGCAGAACAACCAGCTAGGGTGCTGAGAAGGTCTGTGGGGAGGGTGGTTAGGTTAACAGGATTGGAGTATGAAGTACAGTGGTACCTCGGGTTACGAACTCCGCCTTGACTTACGAACCGGATCCGCGGCCATTTTCCCTGCTGCCACGCAGTCGCGGCTTCCTGTGGGCAAGGTTGCGGTAGCAAGGAGACGTTCGGTGAGGCTTGTGGTGTGTTTTGCGAAGGTTTTTGGTGTGCATGTTAGCATGGCTCCAAAGAAAATGCAGAGCAGGGTTGGCGGGAGTAAGGCTCTGAAGAGAAAATTGCCTCGGGTTGCGACCAAATTCAGGCGGACGGCGGAACGGATTAACCAGATTTATATTGAACCCTATGGGGAAATTTGCCTCGGGTTGCGACCAACTCAGGATACGTCCAGAGTCACGGAACGGATTAAGTTCGTATCCCGAGGTACCACTGTATTTCAGCCACAGAAAGTGAAACCAAAAGATCTGCATCTCCAACAGCCTGCTGGTGAGGATAAGATGAGAAAAGAGGAGGAAAAGATCTAGGATTGGAAAGATGCTGAAATAACCTGATAGAGTTGAAGCTAGAGAAAATGCAGCCGTGCTGCTGGAGGTGAATGACTTTGAGGAGAACTTCATTTACCTTCTGCTTTGACTCTGAATGGAACTTTTCTTCATGTGGGGGGAAAAAAAACAGCAGGAAAACTTGTTCCTGCAACTGAAGGAAAAGAACTGCAGTTTTGAGCACTCAGAGAAAAATACTCCATTTTGTTGATGCAATTAAACTCTTGGGAATTGGACATCCTTGCCAATCTACTGCTTGCGATTGATTGATTACGTGCCATCAAGTTGGTGTTGACTCTTAGGGATCACATACAGTAGATAGGTTTTCTGGCCCTTCGGGTCTTCAAACAGTACTCATTGCCACTGTAACTGAGTCCAACCACCTTGTTGCTGGTCCTCCTCCTCTTCTCTTTCCTTCTACCTTTCCCAACATTAGAGCCTTCTCCAGAGAGCTAGGTCTTCACATAATATGTCTGAAAGAGTAACTCCATGTTTTTTTAATATTATTTGCAGCTCAGACGAATAGGATAACTCATACTAAAATTCTTTGGGAAAAGATCTCTCATATGTTGCATATGTTTTCCAGTGATTTACCTGTGTTTTCTCCTTCAGGCCAACTCCTGAGGAAGCCCAAGAGTGGGCAGAATCTTTGGAAAAGTTGCTACTACACCCATGTAAGTGTACATATGTGGTTCGTCAACCTTTTTAAAGGATTGTTTGATACATGGTTTACAGATTTCTGGGTGTCTTTTTCACAGAATGCATGTGAAAATTAGATGATTAGTCATCCTGAGAACTTTTGCCTGTTCCAGATGGTTTCTTGGCACCAACCCAGCTTGCTTAATAATAATAATTAATGCTGATTCCCAGAATTCCAACTGGCAGAGAGCATAGGCAAATATGTAAATAAAAGGCATTTTCATAGAAATCGTCCTGTCCCTGCCAAATGAATTAAATCCTGTTTTCCTCAGAATGGTCCTGTAAGACATGGAGAAGAGTCAGATTAATAGAGAACAGTCCAGCATACAGCAGAGCAGGAAAGTAGACTCCAATTAGGTAGCTTATTGGCAGGGTTTCTACCCCCACTCCCTCCTGGCATCTTCTTTGGATCAAGATTCAGAGAAGACTTTCCTCCCAGAAATGGGACTGATGGTTAACAGAGATGTTCCTGGTTGCCTGCCCTGGATCATTATGTGGACATGGTGTGATCTTTAGTTCTCAGGGATCTGCAGACCATCTTGATGGGTCTGGCAGGGGGGAATGAAATCATTTAGGGTTCTGGTTCCTATAACATAATGTTATGACTTCCTTGACCAGGACATGTCTTGGCTATGATCTAGGAATTGTGAGAATGCCCTCTCTCTTCCCCTTGACACTCGTACATAGTGGAGCTAAAAGAAGATCGTCCTTCTCTGGGTCATCAGTCCCATCCAACAGTGCTGTTGCCTATGGATGAAGGTGACTGTAGTCCAACATAACTAGTAAGGTTGACAAAAGTTGTTATAGTTAATACATCCCCACACACTTGTTTTTCTTTTATTTTTTTTCCCTAACTGCTGGTTTAGTGTTATAATACAAAGCCACAAATCACACAAATACTTTCTAATCCAAATTCGTAACCCTTATTGGAAAAAATAGAGCATAGAAATCTATATGAAGAGGGTCGTTATTAAATATCATACTCTCATTCTCTTCATATTAGGTAGTTCTTCCAAGGGCAGCATCTGCAGATCAGACTTTTAAGAGCTCATCATCCATAGAACAATAGATAATTTTCAACAATTATAGGGAATCAGACATTTAGGTAGCCATCTGCTGTGCCTATCCCTGGAGTGCACTGTAGTAAGCTTCCCAAAACTCAGAGGGGGATTTCATGTGGACCTGTTGCTTCCCCATCTCCCCGCTCATTTCTCATAAGCTTTGTGTCTTCCTGGCAAGAGAGATAAGAAAGGTCTCCTAGCATCTTCTCCTTTCCTGAAACATCCACAGTCACTTGATAACCTGAAGTACAAAAGAAGAAAACTCTGCAGTAAACTGCATAATTTATTCCAGGTGGAATTAACAGCATTTCTAAAGATTTTCTGTAAAGAAGGAAGATTTCAATTGATTGTTTTGGTCTGTTCGTCTCCACATTAGACGGTCGGGCGGCCTTTCATGCTTTCTTGAAATCGGAATTCAGTGAAGAGAACCTGGACTTCTGGATGGCATGTGAAGATTATCGAAAGCTCCGGGGGTGTGACAAACTCCAGGACAGTGCAAAAAAAATTTATGACCAATATATCACCATCCAAGCTCCAAAAGAGGTAGGGGAGTATTAAAGTTTCTTTGAATTTATAGACTCATTTATGAAATGGAATGGATTTGTTAGAGAAAACCATTGTTCCACATTCTACTTTGTATTTTTTTCCCCCTTACATTATCAATACACGTGTGGGTGTTGTATGTGTATATACATATATACATGTGTGTGTGGGTGTGCGTGCATAGGTATTACTGCACATACAGGCATCTTCAGATGTTCGTATGCATCATTTTAACAGAATTTTTTTTTCTTGTGTGTTTGCTAATCCAGACAAATGGGTGTGTTTGTATCAGGCCAAATACTACACAGAACAAATCTGATCTATTCATACTGGTGACTGATCATATTAAACTTGCTTTTTTGAGGTGTTTTATAAACACCCGTATGTACTTTGGAAAGCTAGAGAGGAAGAGATGCCAATGAAATGAAAGATGCAGAACTATACGTGGTTCACGGTGGTGTGATGCAGGAGGTGAATGCGCCTCCTGAGTTCTTTTTCTGAACCATCTGATAGCTCCTAGGGTCTGGTCATAACTCTGCTGTTGTTTTCAAGAGGTTAGCAAAGAGGGAGTCAGAGAATGAAGTTAATAATCAGACAGGGCTGGATAATTGTTGTATCTTGTTCTAGGTTTTCCTACTTTGCTAGCTGTTCAAATTATCTGGATCCTTTTTAGTTAGGGTAAAGGACCAGATAATGCCATCTAAGACAGCACTCGTTGCGCCCTTAGATCACTTTTGTTGATGGGGATAGTGCCTGGATGGGGATAGTGTGAGTGGTCTTATTGGACCTCTCAAGGCTTAATGATATCAACCATACTATTTTATTGGATTGTCTGCAGACTTTGGGGATAGGAGATGTTACCAACAAAAGAGAATACATGAAGCTCAGGGTTGAACTGTGGAGTCCTTGGGGTTCTCTGAGCTTGGTTGTTTTCTTGCAAACGTTTCGTTACCCAGCTAGGTGATATCTTCAGTGCTCAGAGAACCCCAAGGACTCCATAGGAGATGTTGTTTTGCAAAAGTTTTGCCCCTTCTGCAGTGGACAGTTCCAGTCTGATGGTGGGGGAGCAGAGGTCAGCTTGGTAAGCCCTGATATGTGGGGTGCTGCAGGGATCAGTCATCTTTCCCCTGCTCTTTAACATCTATATGAAACATCATCTGACAATTTGGAGTTGCACATTGTTACCTCAGGCTATGTGGACCACATCAGTGTCCTTTCCCAATATCTGGAAGTCGTCAGGGTCTGGATGGAAGAGAACAGACTGAAGCTGAGCCCTAGTAAATCAAGAGTTGCTGTGGATACATCAGGATTCTCTGTCACCACTGGAGTTGTTCCTTGACGAGCAAGCACTACCTGTTAGGAAGCAGATTCATGACTTGGGGAACCTCTGGACTCATGGCTTGTGCTGGAATAGAAGGTGGAAGCCATAGCCAGAGGGGCCTTTGCCCAGTTTCAGCTGATGTGCCAGTTGCAGTCCTACTTGGGGTAGCAGGACCTAGCTACAGTAACGCATGCCCTTGACACCGCCCAATTGGACTACTCTACTATGTTGTACTTGGAGCTGCCTGTAAACACCCCTTGGAAACTACAAGTGGTCCAAAATGTAGTGGACCACATCGTTTCTGGTTCTTTGCGATCATATAACACCAATTTTGCAGTTCCTTGATTGGGTGCAAGTTGGTTTCTGGGTACAATTTAAGGTGCCAGTTTTAACCTATAAAGCCCTTTATGACTTGATGCCCAGATATCTGCAGGACCAGCTGCTCCAGCCAGTACCAGCCCAATCAATTAGATTTAACAGGGACAAACTGTTATTGATCCCATATTTTGGGGAGCTTTGGAGGGCTAAAGGGAGAAGGTCTTGCTTTTTGGTGTCACTGTGGTAGAGATCAAGCTAGCCCTCTCACTGATGTTTTGGAAGCTATTCAAGACTTGTTTTGGGGAGCCTTCCCCTGATCAGGCTATCTTTAGCTTCTATATTTATTGATTGCATTTTTACATTTGACTGGTATTGTTTTTATGGTAGTTTGTACAGTAGGTGTTTTAATTGTCTTTTATTCTGTGAAAACTGCCAAGAGTCTTTTGATTGCAAGAGAACAGTAGTGTATAAAATACATACATACATACTGTACATATATACTGTACATACATACATAAATGACAACCTTTCTTTGCAAGAGGGATTTCATGCTGAAGGTTGCATTTCAGATGGGTGAAGTCTCTTTGGGGCTAAACTATCTCTCTCCACCAGTCATGTAATTCCGGATAGGCATCAGAGGGTTGGTGGAGATTTAAGCCCATCTTCTGGCACAGAGGCAAATGCCTGGGGCTGCCTTAGAGAGACTGTCTCTATGGTTTTGTTTTTATGTTTCACCTCCTATGGAAACCTCAACCATGAGCAACCAAATGTTGCTGTAAGTATGAATCCGATGAAAGAGGCCCACACAGGACTCTTATCATTACTCTTGCCCTCCTGCTGCTCAGCTAATCTCAGGCATCTGTAGGCATCTCATTGCCTCTCTTGCACTGGTGACTGCAGGACATTTGTGGGGAATGCCTCGGACTTTCTTTTTTTGACTGAGAGCTGCAGCAAGAGGCATAGAATGACTTGGCTCACACCTCGCACAGAGCCTACAATGTGCTTTGTTTGGTTTGGGCTTAGTGTGTTATGTAAACCTATCCCGTTGCGGTTTATTCAACCAACCATGACCGTTCAAGCCATTGTAGGGTGATGTGCAAATCCAACCCATTATTAACTAAACACGATACAGTAGAGGCAGTTTTGCCCACTTTATATGTATGCTCTTGGTTCTTCAGATTTTATGTTTCTTTGAGGAACTGTGAAAACCAGCTGAACCCATTGAGAAACAGCAAAGGATGTGTATACACTGTGCACTAATTCCAGTTTCATTCCACTGTCAGTTCTCTGAATAAACTGTATCTTCAGCCAGATGCAACTAAAAAGAGGGAGGTCCGCTTACACGCAGTCTTTGTCAACACCTGTTCTGGATCAGCATTTACTTACTAAAAGTCTACAGCTTTTGTGGCCAGGTTTCTAACTTCTGAACTCACCACATCTAGTTCCAAGCCCCTGATTTTTTTTTCTGCTGCTACAAATAGATTTCTTGGTGTTTGAGGCACTGTGCAAATCACAGTTGCAGCCACTTTGTATCTTGTAGATAAACATTTGCATCTCATTGCAGGTGAACCTTGATTCCCAGACCAGAGATGTCACCAATCGGAACATTTTGCTCCCCACCCGGTCTTGCTTTGACCAGGCCCAGAAGAGGATCTTCGGGCTGATGGAGAAAGACTCGTATCCTAGATTCCTCCGTTCTTTTGTCTATCAAGATCTGGCACAGCCCGGTGGACAGCAGCCGAATGGCCCCTTGTAAACCTGCTGTATTTGTCCTTCCTCCTCTTTTGAAGCCAGCCTAGCAAAGGAGAAACCCTGGAAATTGCTTTGCTTTTTAGGATGTTGACGAGCCAATGAAGTTTGGGAGAAGTGGACTGCTATTGTCCTATTGTGTTGAGATGGTGAAACTGTCCCGTTCATAAACATTATGGTGGATAAAAGAGATAGTGGAAAGCTGGACCCTGACTCATTTGGCATGGACTGGCAGCTTCTCTGGACTTCAGTAAAATATTAGAATTCTAGAATGACAGGGAGAATGGTGCATATTTTGTTTGTATCAAAACGTATGGAAATAATTTTATGTCAGGGCAGATAAAGCTGGGTGTTGCCTGCTGGCATAGTGTTGTCCAAGTTGGAAAATGAAATAGCTGGTTCCCTAGTGTATTTATAAGTCTGTTTCAGCTTTGTCTCCTCTGAGGGGCAGAATTTCTCCAAGATCTTAGACAGAGAAGAGCATTTCCCACCCCCATTTGTATAGAAATATTTGGGATTGAAGTTGGGACCTTCATGTCTTCACAAGGGCAAGCTCTGCCTCTCTGCTTGAATCCCTCCCCAAGTTCATACTGTGCCCACATGGAATTTGGTATGGTGCCTGGCATTTTGGTACCCTGAGAATCATTCTTCAAGAAGGAATTGCAGGAATGTTGTAGGAATTCAGTTCATGATTCTTTTTCAAATTTCCAAGCGAATAGAAGCTGGAATCATGACTCTGTAGCTGACAAGCCTCATGTAGCTGGGCAAGACCAAAGAATTAAACAAAATTCATTAAGGTCTCTTTATCGTTTGGGGTAAATACAGAATCTTGGAAACTGTATTAGGGATTTTCCAGCCTCATTTATAATCAGTGAATTATGGCAAAATCTCTTGAAATAGTTCAAGATGCTTCTTCTCAGACTTCTCCCCACCTGGACTGAGTTGCTGATTACGAGATAAGCTTTCAATCAATTCACCCACTGATCTCTTCCACTACTTTCCCAGCCTTCCCACAATCTCTCACATGGCCTGGGTGCTCCCTGATTAGTCTTTTTGTGTTTACTCAGGCCTCAGAAGCCTCTTGAAGCACCAAAATGAACAAAAAGGATGGAGATCTTCCAGTATGTGGGCCTAACCTATGTTGCAGAAGATCTGAGACTGTTGCTCTCCTCTTTTGAGGTTCCTCAAGTCAGGCCTCTTCTTCTCTTGCAAGATGAGCTGCCCTTGCTGGTGCACCAATTCATGCCTCATTTCTCCTGTCAGATAAAGATGGATAGGGCTCTGACCCCATAGCTAAGCAGAAGAAACACCCTCCTTGCTTATCTATGCATGAAGAATGGCTGCAGCAACAGCTGTCACAGCAGTAGTGTTTCCACTCTGAAAGCCCTGCCTTCAGGTAGCATCTAACATGTAAGAACTGCTGAGAATTAAATCTAGTTCTTTAGCTGGATTCAGATCCCACCCTGATGCATAAGCTCAGACGCAGAAGGCTAAAGCCTTTGGGATTGGCCAAACGTAGTTGAACTACTGGAAGCTGGAAGCTGAGCCAACTAGAGCAGGATCAGCAAGCATTGTAATGATGGACCTCTTCCATTGGTGGGGAATTGGATTAAATGACCTCTAAAAATACCTTCCAACTCAGTGGTAACATTCGTTTTGGCTTCAAGACCAAGATGCCAGTTTACTCAAATTAGCTCAGGGATGGCTGATAGGAAAATACCATGGGACGGCTTAGAAGGGCACATCAGTCAGGAAGCCAGATGAACCTGTGGTCTCTTAAAAAATCACTGGACAGCACAGGAAATGCCAAGCTCTCTCCAGATACAACTGAATCCTGTGCCACCTTGTGATTCAGTTGAACAAGGGTCATTCCAGCCCAGTCTGAGTTTGAATATGGCCTGCACTGTCCATTTCCAGCTTTGCAATGAACTCAGATACAAAGTAAACTCTGCTAAGGTTTATTTTTGCAAAAGTGGTAGGCTTTCAAAAATGTCACTTGCCACAGTATTTATTAAAATGCTTATTTTAATGGGGGCATCATTACTCAGAAAACCACTAGGTGGTGGTGGGGTTTTTTTTTTAATCCGCTTTCAATCGTGACTGATTCTGCGGAGACTGCCTGGACGAGTCCCTGCAGTTTTCCTGGCAAGGTTTTTTTGGAAGTGGTTTGCCATGGCCTCCTTCCTAGGGTGGAGCCCAGCTGGTGGTCACAGGAAATCGAGTCTCTTCCATTGCGTTGCGTCTAGCAACCGGCAACCGATTCCCATTTTCCCGTGCAAGGCGCCACCAGCGTTTTTCCTCCCACCGGGGTGAGAGTACCTACTTATCTACTCACTTATGCTTTCCAGCTGCTAGGTGGGCAGGAGCTGAGGGTGCAAGGCGGGAGCTCACCCCGCTGCGCAGAGCTTGGGCTCGAACCGCTGAAGTGTCGACCATTTCTGGCTGGCAATTTCCAGCGTCATTAAGCCACTGCGCCACCACATCCCTTAGGTGGTGGTGAGTGTCCTCTTATTTTGCTTTGAACCATAGGTGACACCTGGAGGCCTTTCCAAATCTGCCTTCTGGATATATTGAACAGCAACTCCAATCATTCCCAGGGGCTGATGGCTTTTGTAGTGGCAATTCTTCTGGAGCAGGTTTATATACTGAAATAATTTTTTAAAAAACTGCTTCAGTCTTAAAAGTCTCCAGGTAGTACATAAGTCACAACAGCAACAACCCAAGGAGAAATATAGTGAGCTGGCAACTCCCCCACCAATCACGTGGTGGTTGGCCAATGGTTGCTTCCAGCAGTGTGAATGATGTTATGTGTTTGGACATGCATCTATACGTGTTTAGCTGGAACACTTTCTCAGAGTCTCTGTGTATACATTGCCTCACTGTTTCATTTCACATCAGAAACAGTGGTTGTCTGTACACGTACAAGTGTGAAGGCACTTATTTGTAAATGGACATATATTGGGACATGGTATCACAGCCTACAGGAAAAACTGGACAAGTAACTGGAGGGAGCAATCTAGCTTGTACACTTAGAAACCTCCTACAAAATCATCCACAATTTTTGATTCCAGACCAGGTGTTTTCACTGAGCAGCTAGGGGATTACAGATGCCTGGATTTGAGGCCAACATACAGGTAGTCCTTGCTTAAGTATTGCCCTGTTTAGTGATCATTCGAAGTTACAGTGATGTTGAAAAAGTACCTTTGCGACTGGTCCTTGCACTTTCAACCATCACAGTGTCCCTGTGGTCATGTGATCAAGATTCAGGCACTTCCCAGTCAGCAGGCATTTTCAACAGTCACAGCATCCTGTGGTCATGTGACCACAATTTGTGAGCTTCACAGCCAGCTTCCAACAAGCAGTCAATGGAGAAGCCAGCAGTAAGTCGCAAGTTGCAGTCATGTGTTGTCTCGCTTAATGACCATGGCAGAAGTGAGGTCATACGTTTGTCGCAGTCACATGATATCTCACTTAGCAATGGAGTTGCTGGTCCCAATTGTCATTAAGCGAGGACTATTTGTAACTCCATTTAGGCTGAGAGGAACTCATCCAAAATATATATAAGAAGACATTTGCACTTGCCTCCTTCAGTTTCAGCATTTACATTCCACCATGCTGGCTGCATTCGCACAACATACCAAGCTTCGTTAGTTTTAACTCTGGTTTACTGACTGACCCATTTGCCTGGGTTTGCACAACCCATGGAATCATAAACTAACCACTTTGATCCACACAACGTATTGTTCCAAAATGCGGCCTAAGTTCATCTCACGCTAAGCTCCAATTGGAGCTTTGGTTAGGCTTATTCTGCAAATGAGAGTTAGCGAATAAACCATGGTATGGTTTAGAGCAGTAAACTTCAGGGAAACCCAACCAGGAATCAGTCCAACAAGCCACAAGTACTCTGTGTGTGTGTTGCAGGATCCTAATGCTAAAGAGGATCCAACGTGGAACCCGTGGCCCACACATATGGATCAGTTCCTCCTCTTTGCACAACACCTTAGCAACATTTGCGGAGCTTCCTGCTTGCTTGCTTGTTTGTTTCTACACAAGAACAGATGCTCATGAGGTTCAGTGAGTTTTGAAGAGAAAGGGTAGAGAAGGGTAAACGTCCTTTGTGGATTTCATACATTCCTTGGGAGTGAGACCAAAGTAGGAGCAATAGAGATGTTGCTGGCCACTCCCCATTACTGGTTGGTACTCCTGTATCCCACATCACTTTCCTGGAGGCTTAATAATCATAAAGTAACCCTTAGTTTGGATGTGAATGATATGTGGACTGTGATTAAGGTAAGCTAATCAAACCCAAGCCATAATTACATGTCGTAATTGCAGCACTCTGCCTTGACCTTGGTCTTTTTCCAGGTGTCACTCCAAGCCATGCCACAATATGGCTTAGCGTAGCAGTTGAATTAGCTCAGCTGTCTGTGAGACTGAATCTGGCTTATTCAACAAACTAGTTAAAACAATGATTCAGCATTAAATATGAAAATAGCTACTGGCTTAAGGAGTGGGATTTTCCATCCATTCAAGAGAGTGCTTCATAGATCTTGAAATGATGTGCATAAAAGTTTGGGGGAAGTCCTGGGGTAGCATGCAGTCAACTTCATCCAGGGGTCTGACCCTTTCCCTGTCCCTATAGATACATGAATACAAACCCAGTGATTTTGTAGCCAATAGAAACATCTACAAACTTCTTACTGAGTCCAAATGGTTTTGAACAGCTAGCTTTAGAAATGTATATAATTTGAATAATTATAGTGATTTTTTTGAGTTCTAAAGTTTTTCCCCCCTACTTTTGGCATCAGAAATGTATAATTTAAATAATAATAGTCATTTTTGGTGCAAATGTTTGAGTGTTTTCCTTTCTTTAAATAAGTCCTAACTTCTTTGCTTGGCCCATTATGTCTCACAGAGTCTACTGTGCTTATGGTCATAATAGTGAAAGGCCTTTCATCCCAAGCTGATTAAAACTTACTCAGGGCAATAATAGTCTTGCAAAGAAAATAATACAGTGGGAATTTTGGGTGGGCAGAGTCTCTGTGGAGTTCTGGAGCCTACAACTTTGGAGGAGAACCATTTGACATCAAAGTAAGTTTTTTTTAAAAAAGAAAAAACTTTCTCTAAAAAGAAATTTGCATTCTTCAAATGGAAACCCATCAATTAAAATGTTTAGGCTGAAATATGTCTATCTATTCATCCATCCTAGGCACTCCTGCTGGGATGACGTTCCTGATCATTTATTCGGACTAACTCTATTTTTGTATTTGGTTTTGTATTTAACTCTATATTATTTGACAGTGTTCCTACATACAATTCTATGGTTCATTATGGTTTATTTAATTAAATGCATTTTCTGGAATCACACAATGCATAGAAACATATACTAATCACTCTGGCTAGGTTCATGTTCAGGCTATTGTGGGAACATGGCCTTTGTGAGGACATGATGCCAATTTGTGTATTTCCTGAAAGTTATCAAAGCGGTAGTGGTTAGAAATGACTCTACCTGCATTAAAAAAAATAGCTTCAGCCAAGTAGTCTTTGGAGTAGAAGAAGTTAACTCTGCCCTCATGAAGAAGTTGGTTCTCCTCGACCATAGACACAAATAATCCATACTGGAGCAAGAAAGTGAGGTATCTGGAAGTTCTGCAGGACCCTGGACAGCAACAAAGCCATTCAGACATTGCTCCAGCACCTGTGGCTTTGTGTACCTCTATAACATGTTGTTTGGTCTTCAGCCCCTGCTGAGATCTACTTTCTTCAGTGCAAACCTATACATCTATGAACTTCCTAAAGAATAATAACTGCAGAACAGGTTTTTGCTTCCCCTATTTGAGAGTTGGACAAACCAAATAATTTTCTATCCTAGTCTGTGGGATCTGAGCACTATTCCTTGCCAAAAGGAGGGCCTTCCTATCTCTGCAGCTGCAGTTGCTCACTGAAATGTTTGCACAAACTGAATAGCAAGCAATTGTGTATTTGTTTCCTCACAATAGACCTGGACATGATGGAGGTGTGCGTCTACCCTCCCCTCTGTCTCTTATGGTGTAGCTTTCAGTAATGAAAGGATTACAGTACTACTTGATCATGACCATTGATTACTCAAAATTTAGTCAATACATATCGACTAAATAAATAAACAAACAAAAACTCCTTCAAATCATTACACAAGTTGGTGCTCAATAGATATTTTCAAGCTGCATCACACCTAGACTCCATGTCCATTGTAGTCCAAACTATCTGGGTAACATCAGGTGGAATGTTCTACATTATTCTCTTGGAGAGACATCTTGAAATGATCAATACACACAGACAAGTATGGCTTCCTTGATCTTGGCTTACCTTACTGTGTGAACCTAGCCCATTATGCTTGTGAATCATGTTTAGATCTTAATATGTGAATTCCATCAACTGATACTTATTGAACAAAACAGGATTAAAGAAATCCTGACTTAGCACAATGTATGATTGCAACCTCTGTGTGCAAAGAGAAGGTCAGCACAGGGAACCACAGGTGTAGTTGATTTCATCGCCATAGCTAATATGTGGACATTGTGGGTTAGGCCAAAGAAAGGTTTGTAGCTTCCTACTGCTCCATGATTATGTGGAGCAACTCATGAAGAAGGCCTGGATTTATCTTCAGAATACATGTGTGTGCATCCATGCATGTTTGTGTAAGAGAAGAGGCAGAAAAGAAACAATGAGGGGGAAGTGTCTATTTTTTTTTTCTACATTTTAAAACCTCACAGAGAAAAAGAGAGGAACCTGTTTGAGGAAGAAGAGGAGAATAACTTTCTGAAACCAGTGAGAGATGTTATTTCCTTTGTTCTTGCTGGCAAATTGCTTTGGATAGTTTCATAATCTTTTTTTTTTTTTTACTGTTCACTACAGAGATGCACAAATGGTCAGTTTTGCACTTCTTTCTTTTCCTCAAAACTTACTTCTACTGTTTTTTAAGTATACTAATTTGATGCCATGTAAGGTCAACTTTTCTGCTCAATTCCAGTACAACCTCTTCCAGTGTAAACTTGGGTGTAAGCTACAATAGTTTCCATCAGCTCTGCTTAACCATCATTCCAATTTGATAAATAAGTGCCTTTTTAGGAAAACCTTTAAGGAATTGGCATTTTGGATCTTTACAAGACTTTGGGTCACCCCTTTTCTACTATTTTCAGAGGACTTTATTGGGTGCGGACTATTTTCAATTTTAAAATATGTTTATAATAAGAGCATTCTAAGCCCATTTTATTGGTACTCAATCTTTGATAAATTTAATCTTTGGTAGGTGGTAGAAGACATCCCTTTAATTTAATTCTGCTACTTGAGTGAAAATGCTTCTCCCCCGCTTCCTTAAATTAAGATCCACAATATCTATTTCTAGTCAAGTTTACTTTGGCATCTTACTTAGAAAATTCCACAGTCATCTCATCAATGAAGAGAAGCTATTTGTGATATAGCCCCTGACAAGGTCAACATTTTGATATCAAAAGTCAGAAGGCTGGAGCAACAGTTTTCAACTTGAATGGCTTTAGAAAGGTGCTTGGACAGATCTAAAAAGATAATGCTATGAATACCTATGAACTAGTGATGGACTATATAATACCTCTAGGTTCAGAGACTGTATACTTCTCAATACTGATTGCATGTCTTGCTTGCCTTCCTGAAACATCAGCTTAGTCACCGTAGGAACGGAAGTCTAAACCAGATGAGCTTTGACCTAATCCCATCAGGCTTTTATGTTTTTAGATTGTTGTAGTACCTCCTGAGATTCTCCTACCACTCAAGATCCAAATGTCCCTTCAGGCAGTAATGAAATATAAATAAGTACAACAGGTTATTATCTAAAGAATGAGAATAGTGTGTTGAATATTACTTCCCGGCATGTAAAAAGGGGACTGGGGAATGACATAACAAAGATGTTCCAAATTCTGGAGATTGTCCCTTTTTTAATCAGTAGTCTGCTGGAAAAGACCATGAATTTTTACAGCATTAGTACAGAAAGTTTTCCAGCAAGAAGTATCTTTCCTTAAAAGTGCATTTCTACTCATTTTCTACCATATTTGCACAAAATGCTCAGAACAGTACACAGAGGTGATCATATATTCTTACCCCTCGTAACATGATGGGTGAGGGCAATCTTATCCAAGCCTATATCAATAATTGAACATTTGAATCCATGCTTCCCAGCCTATAATATGGCCACCTCGTTGACTATGAAGACACGGACAAACTGGGAGAATGTAGAGAAGAATGATGAAGATGAGGGGCTTAGAGACTAAATCATAAGAATGGCTAAAGGAACTGGGTATGTTTAAGCTAAAGAAGAGAAAGATAAAGGGAAGCATTTCCAATACTTGACACAGGGAAGAGGGTGTGGATTTATTCTCCAGAGCTCCCAAGAGTAGGACAAAGACAGTGTGTGGAAGCTTTACAGAGGGAGATCCAAACTTGAAATAAGGAGGAATCTCCTGACCCTGAGAGGCATTAAGCAGTGGAACAGCCTGCTTCCTGGACTCATGGGGGCTTCATCACACAGGCCTTTCAAGCAAAGATTGGACAATGATCTGTCTGGGATGGTATTAAGATTCCTGCCCCGGGCAAAGGGTTGGGCTAGACCTCCATGGACCCTTCCAGCCTTATGATTCTATGACTCTATGATTCCAGGTATTGTGAGAAAATACCTCCATTCCCCACTCTCTTGTTTTCCCTGCAAAAATCCAAACTGATTCAATTTGTAAATCATGGCTGGAGACCAGAGGTGGGGATCCTCCAGAAGACATATGGATATATACTGAATGTGCATAAACAATATACAGAATTGGGCTTCTTCAGAAGGAAAATATTAGCACAAGAGACTTACCATCCACTTGAAATACACAAAGCTTCTTTCCCTTGGCTGACTGTCTTATTCCAAGCCACGTGAAGACTATTCTGCTTCCTCACATATCTGGTCCTCCCTCACCCCATCCTCCACCCCACTGTCCTCTCTTTGCAGGGCACTGCCAGAATTTTCCTCGCTGGGAGTTTCCTTCAGCACGGCCACGGTAGCATAGTCACTGTTCTGAACAGCCTGACTCTCTGGGCTGGTTCCCCCATCGCATTGACCTCTGCCGGAGGCCGGAAGGTTCTGTAATTCAGCATAATGCACGTCGGCTTCGTAGGTGTTTTCTGACCCACCCTGGTGAATTGGAAAAAATTGAGCAAAAGGTTGGTGCTAGAAGATTGCAGCTGAATAGGTCAGTTTGTAAAGTTCACCTCTGCTTCATGCAGGGGCTTCCAAAGGGATGTCAGAGAAGTCAGAATGGCAGCCACGACTCTGCGATGGAAGCTCCGCCCCTTTTCTATCTGCCCCACCACACACATCAAAAGGGGCGGGGCTTCGATCACAGAGTTGTGGCTGCCACTTTTTAACCCACACAGCCCCTGGTGGAAGTGCCTGCTTCCCTGCTCCCCTTCTTACCTCTCTCTGAACCCTTTGAGCCATGAGGGAAACTCCAACTTCCAAATTTCCCCTGCCACACTTCCAGCTCTAGATCTGCCTGCCCCGTGTCTAATGGCCCCCTCCATTGGCTGACCCCTTTCTTTCTACTGGTTAAACCCAACCCGTTGATGCAAAGCCCTCCACTCCTCTTTCCTTCAGCCCTTTTCAAATCCTAGCCTTCTTTGCCCCCCTTCCCGTAGCCTTCCTTTCATTCAACACATAATACACCTCTTACTGAAAGAGCACCCAGGCTGATCCATCTCTATCATTTAGCAAAGTGGGGTCACTGTTTAGCTGGTGGATGCTGGTGGGTGCGTGCGTAGGGTGGGCAACAGAAACTGTTTCTTCTCATCCCCCATTCATCCATTCCCTTTTGTTGGAGGACAGCATTATCTCGGCTATGTAGACTGCCCTGCACTTCTGAATAGTCCTTCTTCCAGCTCTGCTGGAAGATGTTGTCCCCTCACGTCAGTGTTGTAATAGACTTGGTACATGAATAAGAGGGATATCATCTTATTTTTCACCACCCCAAGTAAAATGTTTGGGAACATATAACCTGCTAGCATTCGGAAGTCCTTGAAGAGTTGGATGTTCCCTTGGGCATGGGATCTGGAGGTTAGGGGAACCCACCACTGTGAGTGTGTCCTTCTAGAGTTGGGTTTGTCTTCAGCCACTGTTACTTTTTTTACTTTTCTTATTGTGTTTTGTTTTGTTTGCTTTAATCCGATGTGCACAGCCCAGAGTCACAATTGTGAAATTGACCGCTATATAAATTGATAAAATAAATAAATATAACAAATAAATAATCCCCTCTCAAGCAGAACAAAGTTCCTTCTGAAGTGGTTGGGATCTGTCTCCTGCCTTCTCCTCTCCACCCCTCTCCAGTGACCTTCCCTTGGGGTTCCCTTGGCTCAGCCCACGTCTCCTTTGCAGCTGTTCTCCAGCCATCTGGCCTCTCTGTTTCTGCTCCCTGGGCCTGAACCAGACAAGCAGGGACTTTTGTAGAACTGCCTCTCCTACTCCCTTCAGAAGCGGAGGACGGCTGGACTCTTTTAATCAGCCGAAGTGAGTAAAATGCTCTGGACTTGTCCCCTTGGTTGCCCTTGAGATTCCTGTTTGCCCTTGTGACACCAGGAGTCAACGTGGCCATAAGAGGAAACCCAAACAGATGCACGTCCTTGTTCTCCCTGCTGTTCCCTGTTGGCGAATGGGCAAGTCTGCCTTTATCTTCCTTTTTTATTTTATTTCATTTGTTCCTGTTGTTTTATTTTGTTAATTCAAATTTAATTTAATGCCATTGTCCTTCTCTTTACTCTTTTTCAGAGTGAAGGTGGGTCTTCACTAGTTTTCTAACATTTCCTGGCCTCTTATCATTTTTCTTTCTTTCAACCCTTTTTAAAGTCAACAGCTTTTCCTGTACCTTCAGGAGAATATTTCAACATGTGTCTTTTAGTTGTAGACATCATCATCATCATCATCATCATCATCATCATCAATATTATTATTATTATTATTATTATTATTATTATTATTATTATTATTGTGGTTGGTCACCCAGTCAGCCAGATGTTTAGACTG